CGCACTTACCCCATTCTATGTGCAATATAGTCACATACTGCACTTACCCCATTCTATGTGCAATATAGTCACATACTGCACTTACCCCATTCTATGTGTAATATAGTCACATACCGCACTTACCCCATTCTATGTGCAATATAGTCACATACTGCACTTACCCCATTCTATGTGCAATATAGTCACATACTGCACTTACCCCATTCTATGTGCAATATAGTCACATACCGCACTTAACCCATTCTATGTGTGATACAGTCACATACCGCACTTACCCCATTCTATGTGCAATATAGTCACATACCGCACTTACCCCATTCTATGTGCAATATAGTCACATACTGCACTTACCCCATTCTATGTGCAATATAGTCACATACCGCACTTACCCCATTCTATGTGCAATATAGTCACATACTGCACTTACCCCATTCTATGTGCAATATAGTTACATACCGCACTTACCCCATTCTATGTGCAATATAGTCACATACTGCACTTACCCCATTTACCACACTAATGGTTTAAAGAACAAAGATTGCAGTATTCTGTGTGAATTATTCATATTCTGGATGTTTTGCTGAGACAGCTATTTAATAAAATCTTACTAACCATGTCCTAGCTATATTTTCAGTTTATACAGTGCACAGTTTTTTGTTGTTTTTTTCCCCTCAGAATTTTATAAATATTTTTGTTTTCCCTTTTTTTTGCCCACCCAAGCCCTCTGTGAGGTAAGTGTTTTCATGTTGGCGCGCACTTTCCATGTAAACACGCCGCCAGGTTCTCTCCTAGAACGTTCGATGACTGGGAGTTCCTTTGGATGTTTGTGGCTGCAGGCCACGCCCCCTCGCTTTGTACATACCGTTCTAATCACAGGCTGCAGGCAGCGTTACATCACGAGGTGTTGGAATGAGTTCCACTTGGTTCTCTTCCTTATTTACTTTAGACGACATTATCACCTGCCTGCGTGATCTCTATATTACATAACCATGGAGGTAAATGAGGGTAGTTTTTAAGAAAATTGAATCAGGCAAGGCACATTGTTTGACGTTTATTTTTTTAAATGCATTTAAAATAACAGCAGGTATTCTATACAAGGGTCCTTGAGATCAATATGTTTTGTCAACAGCTATTGCTTTTTAAAGGTACAGTTTGTGCACTTTATGCATCATAACAACTTCATCAACATGAAGTTGTTATGGTGCCTGGAGGCTTCTCTCAGCCAGTCAGTGAGGGCCCTACCCAGCGCAACTTCGCTCTTCTCGAAACTGAGATTTCAGAAGCCATGGCATGGGCAGGGATGGAGGGGGTTAGATGAGATTGGTGCTGCAGGCAGCTTACGGGTTAAACCCCTTAAGGTAAGCGCACATCTGGGGGCCTCCTTGCACCATAACAACTTTATATTAAGTGTCATTTTAATTGTTGATGTGTCGTCTGCTCCTAGAAGTACCCTATAGTGTACACAAAGCTGCGCTGTCACTTTTGATTTTTTTTTTTCCAATGGATACAGAAAAGTAAAATTTGAATAAAAAAAGAAAATGCTAAATGCATTGTAATTCCAATGTAATTATAGGATACGCATGGACAAAACAGGGACTACTCTGTGTCATGTAGGAATCCATTTTCTTTAACAAAACGTAGCGATAAGCGGACATTTCACACCACATCCTGCTATTTCCTTTCAGCTGTCACAGGGAGGGCTAATGGGAACATACATCTAATGCTCTATGGAAAAAATGCCTTTAGCATATTGCACACGCACCAGAATGTGAGAGATCCCCTAGTCTTGCATGATATTCCATATTATTATTATTATTATTATTATTATTATCATTGCCATTTATATAGCGCCAACAGATTCCGCAGCGCTTTACAATATTATGAGAGGGGGGATTTAACTATAAATAGACCAATTACAAGAAAACTTACAGGAACGATAGGTTGAAGAGGACCCTGCACAAACGACCTTACAATCTATGGGATAGACCTCTGTTTGGCCCTCTCGCTCTTGCGCAATAATGCATCATTGAGATGGCATACTAATCTGTAAGGAGCTGACCAGACATGCCATCACTGAAGAGAGCATCAGTTAATGATAGCTTCTTAACTTCTTCCAACCATGTTCGCCACCACACAAGTGGACGTGTCACCTTTGCAAAAAAATACCCCCAAGTGACAATACAACCTTAACGGGACACTCTAGGCACCAGAACCACTATAACTTCTTGTAGTTGTTCTTGGGCAAAGAAACTGTCCATGCTGGCTCAGCAGTTTAAACGCTCTGCTTTCTTACAAAAGACAGTGTTAACATTGCTGCTTGATGCCACCTCTAGTTTCTGACACTCGGACTTCCTGATTGAGGTCCTGCATGGAGATGCATTGAGTCAATGCTTCTCTATGAGGAGATGCTAATTGGAGCATTCTGGCAATTCTTGCACGTGCACACAGGCCTCCCACTGCTTCCCCCCACAGGCAATAATCTAAATAGTTATAATAACACTCTGGTTTTAGGAATATGTAGGGAGGCGGGGGAGTGGTGCTCAAAATGTTTTTTGTTTTATTTGTTTAAAAAGAGGAGTGGTAAATCCACCCTGCTCTGACCCTTTTACCTCTTAAAAATATTAACTACCTGGCATGCTGAAGCTTAGCAGTATGTTTGCTAGGTGTCCTCTTGTAAACTTGACAGATCAATATTTGGACTTGCTGTCTAGGAAACACATACTTTTGAAATAAATGACAGCTTGGTTGGTGTATATATGTGTATGTGTGTGTGTGTATGTATATGTGTGTGTGTGTGTGTGTGTGTGTATATATATATATATATATATATATATATATATATATATATATATATATATATATGTGTCAATGTTTTAGTCAGAGCCTATATGGCACATTTAGGCTGCTAAGATTATTAAAGAGAAACTTTACCAAATTTTGACTGCATTGATTGTCCGATGTGTCCGCTGACATTGGCAATAATGCAAGCATAGAGCTTATTCTTACCCTTATCCTTTATGCTTAAAGGACCACTCTAGGCACCCAGACCACTTCAGCTTAATGAAGTGGTCTGGGTGCCAGGTCCAGCTAGGGTTAACCCATTTTTTCCTAAACATAGCAGTTTCAGAGAAACTGCTATGTTTATGAATGGGTTAAGCCTTCCCCTATTTCCTCTAGCGGCTGTCTCATTGACAGCCGCTAGAGGCGCTTGCGTGCTTCTCACTGTGAATTTCACAGTGAGAGCACGCCTGCGTCCATAGGAAAGCATTATGAATGTTTCCTATGTGACCGGCTGAATGCGCGCTCAGCCAGCCGACGGGGAGGAGAAGAGGAGGATCGGAGGAGGAGAGCTCTCCGCCCAGCGCTGGAAAAAGGTAAGTTTTAACCCCTTTCCCCCTTCCAGAGCCGGGCGGAAGGGGGTCCCTGAGGGTGGGGGCACCCACAGGGCACTATAGTGCCAGGAAAACGAGTGTTTTCCTGGCACTATAGTGGTCCTTTAAAGGGTTACTATAGTCACCAGAACCACTACACCTTAATGTAGTGGTTTTGGTGTCTATAGCCTGTCCCTGCAGGCTTTTCGATGTAAATGCTGCCTTTTTAGAGAAAAGGCAGTGTTTACAATGGTGCCTAGTAACACCTCTGGTGGCAGTCACTCAGACGGCCACTAGAGGTGCTTCCTGTGTCAGTGATGCAAAGTGTGCAGCACCGGCGATCAGTGTCTCCACGCTCTGACTGATTCAGTGCATCTGTATGAGGAGATGCCGATTGGTGCAGCGTGTCATTTTGACGCGCATGCTCAATAATCTCCCAATTCTTTCCTATGGGAAAGCATTGGATTGGCTGATATCAATATTAATAATCTCAGCCATATAGACGGAGTCAGGGACAGCGTGGGAAAAAAGTAAAATCACCTTTTCAATGCGATTGGAGCGGGGCATGTGACTTAAACAGCCACTCCAGGACTATAGTGTCAGGAATACATGTTTGTATTCCTGACACTATAGTGTTCCTTTAATAGCAATTTATTATCAAGCTAAATGCTAGTCCTATATTTCAACTATGACATGCTGTGAATCCTAAGCTTTGAGAAAATGAATTCATTTTGCATATGTCCCTTGTAACTAACAAGAAAGAAAAGACCTATGACTGGCACATGTTAGCATCTCATTTTTCCATGTATTATAATGTAAGTGGCCACTCAATTTATGCCTCAGGATGTCTGGCTATTCCCCTCCTTCCGTCCCACTCCACCCACTTTTCCTACCATTTATTACTGCCTGAAGGATGTTACAGGCACTTAAAGGAACACAATAGTGTCATGAATACAAACGTATTCCTAACACTAAAGTGTTTAACTATTTAGCTCCCAGTCCCCCTCAGATCACTTTTTAAAAGGTGATTACACGTTACATTTCTTCCACGCCTGGTTCCGCCTCCGTGGCTGAGGCCACCAAGTTTGATGATCCCAGCCGCAGGAAAGCATTGCGAGGCTACTGCGCATGTGTGGCAAATTCCGCTTTTCAACAATAAGCCTTATGCAGGGCATGGGGACACTGAATGTCACTGACTTATTGCTACTAGAGGTACTACTGGTCTGCAATGTAAACACTGCCTTTTCCCTGAAATGCCTGCAGGGACAGGCTGTAGACACCAGAACCACTACATTAAGCTATAGTCGTTCTGTTGACTATATAGTGTCCCTTTAAATTCAAGTATGTCACCCCTGGACTTAAATAGACAGACAGGGGGACACTATAGCATTAGCAATACAGTTTTGCGTTCCTAATACTATAGTGTTCCATTTCCTTTAAGAAAAATCCTATGATTAAAACACTGCTGTAATCCTTGTCCCAGAATTCTGGAATAAACCAAGTTAGCCTTCAGTAAAAGATTGGGATAAAAATGTGGAGGTCATACTGTTGATTTAGTAGCTGATGGTATATTTGAGTGTTAATTTTCATTCCTACACAGCAACCTGGTTTAACTGGTTGAATTACGTGGGATGCCCAGACTACCTTTGGTCCACAAGATAAGGAACGTAATTATTATCAAAGTTAGATATATCTTGAGGCTTCCTAATAGCTATTCAACTCCAGATTGTCTGTTTTGCCTTCGACACTTGTCTCTTGCTACTTGCTTATTCATGTTACTGACCTTTGTGGTTTTCCTAATTTTTCCGCTTCTTCTTACTTCTTATTGTCTCCCCCCCTTCTTGTTATCTACATTTACCCCAGATACGATCTATTTTTATTATTTTTGATTTACAGAAGAATGTAAAAACAAATAATTGTTCATGGTAGCCCTTTTATAAGACCATTCTATAGCTGTATATAACCAAAAATTAAAACATACTTACTAATATTTTCTTTTCCCGGTAATTGGGCACGGCAGCACTAGCATTAGCGTTTAGCTCCTTCCACCACTCCCAATGGACAGAACAATAAAGTATTTAAACAATTCAGTCGATACTATAACCACCCCTCCAAACCATGAAGCCTTCAGTTTGTTATGATGCTGGGGCGCTGGAGGAACTCCTTGCTGAATGGGCTCGCTGGCGGGAGATGGCCCCCGCCTCGAAGGAAAACGGGTAAGCTGCTGCGTGATGCGTTATTTCTGTCTTGCAGCATGATAAACATGGCGGCCACATAGCCGCCATTTTTCACGTGTTGCCATGCGGCCGCCGCCATTAACGCCTTGTAAAGCGTGTTGTGTAGGGAGCATCAAGGAAGTATTAGGGCCAGTTAAATAGGGAATGAGATGGAGGGAGGGACGGATAAGGGAAGAATGACCTGGGTGGCTTGATAAGAACGGATAGAGGATCGAAACGAAGGAGAAAAAGTTGCTACTTGCTTTCTGCATTTGACCAATCCTGTCTTTGCATCCAGCACAGCAGGAGTACAAACTACTCCAAGCCGGCTGTGATGAGGGAGGGGAGTTAACCCTTAATGTGTTCCGTCCCTATTGGTCCAAAACTTTTTTCCAAAGCCACCAACACAGGGCAGGTATCCAGTGCTGCCATGGCCCATTACAGGGAAAGGAAAATATTGCTACGTATGAGTGAATTTTCCATTTTTTCCGTCCATGGCTACGGCAGCACTAACAGGGTTAATACCCAAGCATAGGACACACTGTGAGCGAAATAAACACAGAACACCGAACCACTGTTACGAAAATATATATATATATTGAACAAGACCAAATTAAAGAGCAGAGGTCTGAAAGACCTCCTTCCTAAAGGAGACCTCCTTCGAGATTTTGCACCCAGACTGTAAAGTTTCATGAAGGTATTTGCAGAGCAGAAGATAGCTGCCCAGCAAATCTGGTCAGCTGGAACCTGTGCCTCTGCTGACTAGGAAGTCAACCATAGCTCTTGTGGAATGTGCCTTGAGCCATTGAGGAACTTGAACATGCTTTACTTGATAAGATCTAGCAATAGCAGAAGAAATCCATCGAGCGATAGTCCGAACTGAATTTCTTTTTCCTTTATTCTGCCCTGAAGGGATAATGAAGAGTCTAGGAGATTTTTTGATACAACTGATACGGTCAACATAGACACCTAGGCAGCGAACAACATCCAGGGAATGCCAGACTAACTCTGCATTTCAAGAATGAGACGAGAAGAAAGCAGACAGAACAGTATCCTGGTTAAGGTGAAAACTTGATGCCAGCTTAAGCTCCTGTGCTGATTTAGTAATGGAAGTAATGGAACTCGCCAGCACTTACCTGTCCCAGGGTGAATTCGTGTTCTAGAGGCAGCTCCCAGGTTCACCTGACACCACTTTCTCCCTGCTCCTTTCTGGCATTGTCGCTTTCTCTATAAATAAAGACACCCATGCCCTCGTAGATCTCCCAGGTTCCCATATCACTCTTAGGCAACTGGAAGGGTCGTGTCTGCAAGCAAACCAACCGGTAGGTTGTCACAGTATAACCAACAGATATAAACTGATACCCTAGGACTTGGTGTCTCACTAGCACACAAGTATGAAGGAATTTAGTATGAGAATTAGTGCTGAACAATACATTTCAAAAATTGCATTTGAAATAACAGGTGTAAAATGCTAAGACCAAATCTATATACACAGGGGGATGCAGCTGTGGATCTACATAAGAAATATCAACGCAGTGTAAAACAGTGTGTTTCAAGGTAAATTGCTTTGACAGAAATTCTCTCACAGAATGTGTTGTGAATTAATCTTAGATTACTGGGGGCTATTTCATGACCCCTTCACTCTGGGTAGCAGTCTCCACACCAGTACTGACAAGCAGGTTCCAAAAAACGTTACATTTATTTATACAAATACAAATAGTTTATCCAACTTTTGGACTTCCTCAAGGATAAATGTGAATTAAAAATATATTAAAAAACAATAATAAAACTAATAATTCCCTACAAGAAATAGAGATATGTCTCCACGCTCCAAAAGGTGATGCAAGTGTCAAATATGTGCAGGGTCTATGTGAAATATATGGGTAGGCAACAGGCAAGAAAAAAATGGAAAACTAAACCTAAAAATAAGCAACTAAAAAATAAAGGGTGAGATGATGAAAAAAGCCTTGACAGTGCCCTCTTCTTCTCGAGGCAAACTGAGTTATTCTCCCTGGGTCCCAACCAGGCAGAGAAGTCCGGTTGTTCAGTGTTAAAGCCCACGGACTGGAGGCAAATGGTGCCCTCATGGATTGGACATCCGATGTAAGCAGTCAGGAACCGATATGCTGTCCATCGGTATGTCATCCCTGCATCCCGGAGTTAGTGTGTGACAGGGCCCAAAGATCTCCTCCACTGTACGGTGGACTTACGCAGGTCTTGGAAGAATGTGTTTAGCGGTAGATGCCTGTATGTGCCCCCTCCCTCAGTACAGCGGGTGTAGGAACCCCTTCCCTAGGACTCATTGCTGGTTCCTCATATTGAGGCCGAGGTTCAGCAGACATGGCGGTATGGTACGCCAGGACGGCCATCTTATAAGTAGCAGGGCACTGTAGCATGGTGCCGATATCATGAGTGTCTTTGGATGCACGTGTGGACTTTGTGATCTTTGCCCCATGAAGTGAGCATTCAGCTCCAGGAAAGGACCACCAGGTAAGTAACAGTCCAGTTACTCCAGGAGGAGACCATTCGTTGAGCATGGGACTTGAGCCTGCTGGGAGACATGGAAAGCTCCAGTGTGTCAGCGGGTATGTTTCCCTGGTGGAAGGAAGATGAAAGGCATTGATGCAGCACCCCCAGTATGTCTGCTTTTTCACTGGTGGTTTGCCGGTGCGAAAATTGCCTTGGGCCCCCCCCATACATCCACCGCCCCACCGCACCCCATGCGTCTACCCTTCCCCTCCCATATTTTGCCAACACACACATAGACACATATACAGAGACACAGACATACACACACAGACATACAGGCACATACAAACACACACATATACAAAATATTTTAGTCAAACTCCTGTTTCCTACATTTTAGATTCAGGAGGGTGACTTCCCTGGGGTCCAACGGTGGCTCAACCTGATGGGAGTCAGAGTCCCCACTGGTTGCTGGGAGGAAGTGACCGTGGCAGTCATTTCCTCCCAGTGGCTGACATCATCACAGGGGGCCCGATCATGCTGTTAAAGTGCTGCAGTGTTGACCGGGCCATTGGGTGGCCCTAATAGCATGGGCCACCCAATGGGCCCCTTCATTGTGGCCCTGGCGGTGGGCACCACAGTCGCAGGGCGACCGCCCCCCTGGAGTGATGGGCCCAGTCACAGCTGCGACTAAATACAAGGTGGAAAGCGAAAGGAAACAGAAAAAAAATGGTCCTTTAAACAGTGACTAAGAGGAAAAAGTGTAAGCAGTCAATTATAAAGCTATTATAGCTCATATTTAGGTAATGCACTAAAAATACATAGATTAAAAAAAAAAAAGAACCCTCATTTGAATTTATGTTTACAGCAAATTGCTTCAAGGTTTGCAGTTTCCTTTAATGAACTAAATCTGTCAAGTAGCTGATAACTGACAGTCAACCTCAGCTTTAACAATAATTTTAGTAGTAGATATAGTCAATAAACCTCTGCCCAGCAGTTTTCTACAGGCAAAATTATGTATGATCGATTCTAGGGAGACTTGTAGAATATTAACCAGTTTGTTTAACATATGTTTTGATTTTAATATCTTAAACTGTGAATTACGTGATCTTAAAACCAGGGGGTCGGGGGAGAACAATCGTGGCACCATAACCACTACATCAAGATTTGTTTTTCTTTGAAGAATACTGCATGTTTAGGTGTTTTTTTTTTTTTTTTTTCTTATAAAGATTTAGCAGTCATAGGTCAAACAAAACAAAAGAAAAGGACAGTTTTGAAGCTAAGACTGCAAAATTTGTCGGGCTAGGACGGAAATGCTAAATTAAAAACCATCACAAAAACAAAATCATATCCTAAATCTAATATTTATAGAAACTAGACACCCCAACGTATTTACCTTTTTATGGCATTTTAACACTTTGTTTCATTTTATTATTTTTCTTTTCACCAATCACAGCCAAAAATCTTGGGCAGCGAGGTGGGTACGACATGGGAGGCACTTGTCAAATGAGAGGTAAAATTTGGCAAGTGAAAAGTTAATTATAAGAAGTAATTAGAAGTTACGGCAAGAAACTAATTGAAAGTTGGAAAGTGGAGCAATGTATTCGAATGAGTGGTAAAATATGCACAGAGGACAAAATCTAAATAAGGGGAAGCAGTTGATTTTTATGTGTATCAAAGCAATAAAATACAGGTTAAGATAGTTACGGAGTGCGTTTTACTGTGAAACGCATGCTTGGGACCTCAGAAAAATATTCGTAAATTAATAAATGCAGGGACATTAATATAAATAAACACACTAAAGTCAATACATAGTGAAATTGTTACATTTTACACTTGGTCAGAAATAGAATAATAATGCTTTTACGCAAACACACTTCCTTTTTTAGAATGTAAACACTTTCACAGCTGTGCTTAAAACCACGAACAGCGATTCCCACAACCATGGGTTAGCTACTTGCTGGAGTGATCAGTAGTACTTTCCCAATTCTTTCGAGACCAAAGACAAAGGTTAAAGGGACACTCCAGACCCCTAAAGCACTCCCCCCTTTATTTTTTCATTTTACAAAGAGTGCAGCTGTCAATAGAAATTGGCACATTTATAAATTATTTTTTATTCCTGTTAAATTCTGTGATAACTTGTCTCATCTATTGTTAAATTTGCTCATTTATAACATGTAAAAATGGCAGTGATAATGAATATTTTATTGAAGGGTACCTTTGTCTTTTATAGTTAGAGAATGAGCCAGTTACAAAAGAAAACACAAGCCCCAATTAATAACATTTACAGACCAATGGGGCCTAGGAAGATGCATAATAAAGTGACATATTTTTACGTGGGTAGGGGGCACACATGTAAAACTGAGCTGCATGATTATCACCAATAAATTCCACCACTACAAGGACAACATTCACTGATTAGGCTCAAAACAAAACTCACAGGTAGTCAATGGCGTACACACAGCCCATGGGGCCCCAGTGCGAAAACTGATCCGTGGGCCCCCCTCCCCCCGCACACTTACTCTACGCGGGCTTGGGCCCCAACACATGGTGACGGGCACCTGGTCGCAGGGCTGTGACCCCTGCAACCGTGGTATGTACGCCAGTGCATGCAGATACACATACACTTAAAGGACCACTACAGACCCCAAGATCACATCAGCTCAATGAAGTGGTCTGGGTGCCAGGTCCCTCTAGTTTTAACCCTGCAGCTGAAAACATAGCAGTTTCAGAGAAACTGCTATGTTTCACTGAGGGTTAATCCAGCCTCTAGTGGCTGTCTCATTGACAGCCGCTAGAAGAGCTTCTGCGACTCTCGCTGTGAAAATCACAGTGAGAAGACGCTGAACGTCCATAGGAAAGCATTGAGTAATGCTTTCCTATGGACGGTTTGAATGCACGCGCAGCTCTTGCCACGCATGTGCATTAGGAGCTGAGGGGCGGAGAGATCCCTAGCGCCAAGGGAGTCCAGCGCTGGAGAAAGGTAAGTGCTTAAGACACACATACACACACTCTCATGAACAGGTGCATACACACTAGCTAACAGACACACACAGTTACTGACAGACACACACTCACTTACAAAACACACACTCACTAACAGACGCACACAAACTAACACTCAGTAAGACACACACAGTAACACACTCACTGACACACACTAACACACACTACACACTCACGAACACACACACTCACACACACACACGTTTAAAAAAAAAAAAAGTACTCCCCCAAGCCTCCCTACCTTTGGGAGAGCTGAAGGGATTCCCTGGGGTCCAGTGGTGCTCCTGGGCGTCCGGTCACCTGGCTGGTAGGTGCGCGAGGGAGCACTCTCCCCTGTGTGCTCCCTCTTCAGCTCCCTCGTGCGCCGCGTACTGATACCGGAGCCGGAAGATGACATCATCTTCCGGCTCCGGTGTCAGTGCGGTGCGCGAGGGAGCTGAAGAAGAAGCACACAGGGGAGAGTAATCCCTTGCGCGCCTGCCAGCCTGCCCGCCGGATGACACCAGGGCCAGCCTCGGGGGAGCCCTGACGTGGCCAGCCCCTGGGCTCCCCAGGAGAAGAGGCTGGCCACAGTGGGTACACACCGGGTCGCAGGGCGGCCGGGCCCCCTGGTGACCCCGGTATTTACGCCACTGCAGGTAGTACTATAACTTGTAACACAATAACCAGTTCATACATGGAAATTTTATTATGGGGATGTCATGGGGAGTAGTTAGCCCTGAATTTTATAACGGAGAATGTATTGAAATGTAATGGGTCACACAGAGACAGCTGGAGGGTAGAAAAAAAAAGACAAAATATTAATATATTAAAGGAACACTATAGGGTCAGGAACACAAACGTGTTCCTGACCCTATAGTGTTTAATACACTATTTAGGTGGCTTGCTCCCCTTAACCCCTTTAGAAGGGGCTAAAACTCACCTTATTTCCAGCGCAGTGTGGGTCTGCCAGCGCTGGCCCAGCCCCAATCCGCTTCCTTGGTGACATCAGAATTTCCGATTTTAGCCCCATAGGAAAAGCATTGGATTTCCTGAAATCGACAAGGAGACAGGATGGGGGCGGGGCCAAACACAGTTTTGGACAATCAGCACCTTCTCATAGAGATGAATTGAATCTATATGGAAAATTCAGTGCTGCCTACTGTACAGCACTGCCTCAGGAAGCACCTCCCATGGCCATTTTAAGGTGTGGCCACAGAAGGTATCCCTAGGGGGCAATGTAAACACTGCATTTCTCTGAAAAGATAGTGTTTGCATGAAAATGCCTGAAGGGAATGATTATACTCACCAGAACAACTACAGTAAGCTGTAGTTGTTCTTGTGACTATAGTGTCCCTTTAAATTACTGACGTGTTTTTTAGTTTTTAACTTTGTTTTTCTGTAACTGAAGTCTTAATATTTTGTTGTCCATAAACATCATTCCACACACAGCTATGCTATTAAACTGTTGCTCTATATGCATCCTGAGATACTGAGATAAAATTATTTTACACATCGCTTTTCAGAACACAAGAAACTTAGTGTTATTTGCAAACACAGGCCCATGACCTTTTATAATGTATGCCAGTCCATCAATGGACAAATTGAAGACTAAGAACCCACAATAGAATCCCAAGAGAACTCCACTTACCACTTTTGTCTAATAATTTTCCAAAAATAATAATTCTCAGCATTCTACCTTTTGGTTTTCTGTCCAAGTATACATCATCCACTGCAGTAACTTGAGACTACCTTACTCACGTCTTTATAGAATGCCGTTAAAAACTTCGACATTGTTTGTCCTTTATAAGACCACATTGATTCTTACTAATGACTTTGTTTAAAATGCATTATGTAATGTGTTCTTAAGTTAATCTTCTTAGTCTTCAAAACCTAAATGCAATAAAAGCTTTGATTTTCCAAATTTAATGTTGCAGGTCATATTCACTACTATAAATGTACAGAAGGGTACTCACAGGTATAGGGATCAGTCCTCTGTTCCATGAATAGTGATTATATACTGCCCAGGATATTGGTAGTAAATCCAGTACGGTTTCTAGTTAAAGGTACAGACACTCCCCACTTTCTCCATTGTATCTTCACTCTGTCCAACATAAACACTTTTGAAACACTGACTAAACAATTCTAGTTGATCAGCCCTCTTGCGCAAAATCTCAATGCTCTTCAGGCCTGGACTGGTCCATTGGGATATTTCCAAGAAGTGATGGTATTAAGGTGTTTCCAAGTGGCTGCAATAGTTTAGAAAATGCCCCAGATTATCTAAGGACTCTAGGTTCAATTTCTGTGAGGTACAGCAGGATATCATCCATAGTGGGTGACTATCATTACTCAGGACTATGAGACAATCCGGGCATAAACGTGACGTGTGAAAAACACGTACGGACTTCTTAGTTGGGAGTCCTCCGTTACTGTTACTTTAAAGCGGGTATTCTGTGTAAATGATACATTTCAGTGTTCAAAGAATAAAAAGCTATAAAACATAAATTGTGCTCTATATAATTACCATATAGATATATGAAAACGTTATAAATACACATTCTCATTTAGGAAAAAAGGTTTGAAAAATGCACCTTTGAGAGTTACACCTGACTCACTGAGAGACCTTTTCACATTATAACATAAAACAATGGATACATACTGGAGTTAAAGGGACACTCCGATGCCCAAATACAAAATAAATAAAACTCACTGTGTAGAAGATATACCCTAAGTGAAAATGTACATGCATTTAATTATGCATTTGTTTTCATTGGAATTATATTTAAAAATAGCTTGCAAAAACTGCAGTTCTCTTGTCTGCAAGCCCTCCCCTTTTAACCCCGCCCAAACTTTATGTGACTGTTCAATCACAGACTTCCCAATGCAGCTTAATGAGAAGTCTTTGCTAGGCAGGTACTCTGGGCAACTGTTGCCTCCTGAGTTCAGTGCAAATAAGCTAACCAAACCAGGAAGTAACAGGACCTGCTGTCTGCTTGAAAAGCCAGGGGGTGTAACCAGGTTAATTTATAAAAGGGTCAATTTCTATTGAAATCTGCACTTTTTCAAAAATTAAATAAAGAGGACACACTCTTCACACATGTGACATCTTGTCACCAGCCTGCAGTACGCGCTGACGGTATACATAAAAATGCACAGAACTGACATTAGGCAGTCTGAAGCAGATTTCCGGGCTGCCGAATTCACGTGTGCCGTTGGTCTGACTAGCTACTGGCACAAAAGTGCAAATAACTCAACTAAATTTAAGCTGAAACACTGCACAGCCACATTCCTTCCTCCATGACCACTCCAGAAAGCAGAAGTGGTCAGTCGTGATCGCTGGAGTAACTGTCCACCAGCAGAACCGAAAATAGGAAAGTAGTACAGTATCAAACACCTTTAAATTAGTTTGAAGGAAATTTCTATTGAACATCTTGGGTTAAACAGAAGAAATGCGCACTGCCCACCACCTAGACCTCGCCTTAAAGGAACACTATAGTCACCTAAACAACTTTAGCTTAAGGAAGCAGTTTTAGTGTATAGATCATTCCCCTCCAATTTCACTGCTCAATTCAGTGTCATTTAGGAGTTAAATCACTTTGTTTCTGTTAAAGCAGCCCTAGCCACACCTCCCCTGGCTATGATTGACAGAGCCTGCATGAAAACAAAACTGGTTTCCCTTTCAATCAGATGTAATTTACCTTAAACAGTTGTATCTCTTTCTTTGTAAATTGAACTTTAATCACATACAGGAGGCTCTTGCAGGTTCTAGCAAGCTGTTAACATACCAGGAGATAAAACAATATAAATTAAACAGAACTTGCAATAAAGGAAGGTTAAACTTTAGATGACTCTTTACAGGAAGTGTTTAGGAAGGCTGTGCAAGGCACATGCAGGGAGGTGTGACTAGGGTTTATAAACGAAGTGATTTAACTCCTAAATGGCAGAGAATTGAGCAGTGAGACTGCAGGGAGAGAAGGGGAGAAGTGAACAGGTTAACAGAAATATACACGTTCAACTAAGCAATAACATAACGGGTGTTTGCTGGAACTTCAGGGGACTGTCATCGATGCTCCTTTGGGCAGCTGATACAAATGGGCACACCCTGGCTGGATTCCATATTGTCGGTTGTGGTGGTGTCGATGATAGCCCCAGCTTCCCCCAGTTCCAGAATCCCGGGTAATGAGCAGGCACCTCGGGGTACCCCATTTATAAGATAGGTTGTGGCTTGTGAGCTCTGCGGTCAACAGTCTCAGGGACCTGCCCCAGCCCAGTGTCGCTCTGGATATATCTGGATAGAATGACAAGTTGTATGGTGTCTTATTGCGGGTCGCCATCAGGAACATTTGCCTGTCTTGCCCCTTTTGAAACCAGATGATTACATCCCTGCTTAGATCCGTAGTGCGGGATGGTGGTGCTGGAAGCCGAAAACATCCATCCAGGGCCATGAGTTTGGCCTGTTTCGCTGATAACCGCTGGCTGAAAAGCCTTCTCATTAGGTGGTTAATTTCAGCCACTCCACTGTGGTCTGGGATGTCGCGTACCTTAATATTTTTCCACCTCCTGCGATCCTCCATTGCCGCCATGCGACTCTACATTTGGGCCTGTTCGCACCGCAGTGCAATCAGATATTGTTCCAGGCAGTTGAGTCAGGCCTTGTGTGCAGCAGTGGTTACCTTGGTGTCATGTAAGCGCACCGATACTCCTCTTGGTTCTTCCTTGAAGGAATATCCACCTCTATGTTGCGGCGTAGGTCGTTGAGGAGGGTCTTTATACTTTCCATTACCGGTGGGTCCCCCTTACGCTGTGCAGGTAAGTCAGCCTTCCGTCTCTCTGTCTGCATATCCAGCTCTCCCACATCAGCAAGGGAGGCTGTGCTGTATAAGTAGGATAGGTCAGAGAGGGGCGCCATGGCAGGCCTCATGCCGCCTTCGGAGTAGTTCGCCTATGTCAGCGCTAGATGGGAATTTATCTGACTTATATTTTTTATTCTTCCTCTCCATCGATGCGGAAAGCGTTTCCCCGCTCCTGGGGCTTAATCACCGCTCTGGATGGGATAGTTTTGGGGGTTATTTCCCTAGCCGTACTGGAGCTCATTCAGGACGTGTCTGTACAGTATGTTATCTGGCTCTGCCCCCCATGTATTTTTTTTAATACTATAGCCTATTATGTTTAAATTCTTAAAACTAAATATAACCACAGCCATTTTATACAAACTTTATTGAAATTTTCCTCACCTTAAAGGAACATTATAGGCACCCAGACCACTTCATCTCATTGAAGAAGTCTGGGTGCGCTGTCCCTGTTAGTTTAACCCTGCAATGTTAATTTTAACACATGACAGGAGGCTTCATATTTTGCATAAACTTCCTTTACATACTCCATAGCAGCAAAGAATAGAATAAACACAAACCAATCAGATGTAAGGATAAGGTATAAGAAGCCCCTCCCCTTAAGGCACTTCCCCTTTCTTTGCTGCTCCATCACAAGTCAGGTCAGAGTATTTTGTTCTTACATTATCTTTGACTTGGCTATTGTATTTGATAATTTTATTCTATTATTGTTTAATCTTTATACTATTTTAACCTATTGTTACGTTTTTCTGTGGTAACTGTTTAACCCCTTAAAGACTGGACTGTTTTTGCGATGTTGTACATTTGCGCCCAGGCCTCTTTTTACACTTTTGTGGTGTTTGTGTTTAGCTGTAATTTTCCGCTCTCTCATTTACTGTTCCCATACAAATTATATATTGTTTTTTTTCAGGACAAAAGGGGCTTTCTTTACATACCATTATTTATTTAATCTCATGTAATTTAATTTAAAAAAAATATGATAAAAAATGGAAAAAAACATGTTTTTTACTTTTACTTGAAAAATCTGTTACTCATCTACAAAAGCGAATAAAAAAACCTGTTAAATACATTCAAAATTTTGTCCTGAGTTTAAAAATACCCAGTGTGTACCTGCTTTTTTTTGCAAGTTATAGGGCTATAAGTACAAGCAGGATATTGCGGTTTCAAAACATACATTTTTAAAATTGATCAATAGTGACATTGTAACACTATTATCTGTCATAAATCTCTGAATAACACCCCACATGTACATATTTTTTTTTTTTAAAGTAGACAACCCAGGGTATTCAATATGGGGTATGTCCAGTCTTTTTTAGAAGTCACTTAGTCACAAACACTGGCCAAAGTTAGCGTTTATATTTGTGTGTGAAAAAAGTAAAAAACTAAATTGAATGCTAATTTTGGCCAGTGTTTGTGACTAAGTGGCTACTTAAAAAAACTGGACATACCCCATTTGCAATACCTAGGGTTGTCTTCTTTTGCAAATGGTATGCCATCATGGGGGTAAATCTCATTCCTGGGCTACCATAAGCTTTCAAAGGCAACGTAACCAACCTGGCCATTTTCAATGTAAAAATATTTGACCCTGTAACTTTCAGAAATGCTATAAAACCTGTACATGGGGGTACTGTTATACTCAGGAGACTTTGCTGAACACAAATATTAGTGTTTCAAAACAGGAAAACGTACAACAATTATATCATCAATAAAAGTGCTGTTTGTGTGTGAAAAATGCAAAAAAGTCACTTTTACTGACAATATCATCACTGTGATATGTTTTATTGTTTTGAATCACTAATATTTGTGTTCAGCGAAGTCTCCCTGTCACGATTCGGGAACCTAACACGCTAACAGGTCACAGGAAGGAAGGGTGCTATACCGGTCCTTAGAATGGCCAGGTTAAGCACACTAAGAATAGTCAGGAGACAAGCCAAGTAAAGGGAGCCAGAAAACACGAGAACGAGAAACAAGCCGAGGTCAAAGGAATGGAGAATACAGGAAAGTCGTAATAACGAGCCAAATAAATGGTAACCAGAGAGCAACACGAGCAAACTGCAATACAGGTAACACAAGACCACAACAGGGCACTGTGAGACAGGAAAGGTAAGTATATAACAGCTGTGCTTAATTCTGATTGGATAACTTCCAATCAGAATTAATAATCACACGTGGGAGATATCTATACCTTCCACTGTGATTAGGGTACTGTGGCTTTAACGCCGGGTCACGTGAGTGACCCTGTCGTTTACACAAATGCGGGGACTCCCAGCGTGCAGCGTTACACATGCAACGCTGGGAGGCGAGGAGGATGACGTGAGCGGCGCGCAGCGCAGAGAGGACGCCGCTTGCCGACAGATAGGGGAAGGGGAGACCGCGGGCGGCGATGGACTGACGGTGAGTGCTGCAAGTGGCGTACAGCCGCCCACGGAGCCCTGACACTCCCGAGTAAAACAGTACCCCCACGTGTACAGGTTTTAGGGTGTCATAGAAAGTTACAGGGTAAAATACAGTGCTAGCAAATTAAATTCTCTGGACTCTCGGCCTGGGTTGGCAGGCAGGTCCCTCAAATTGCAATCAATAAAATTACTTAGTTATGTTAAAATATTACATAAATTCGCACGTAGAATTTAAATATATATGCATATTTGTATATTTGAAGTCTACGTGTATATTTATATAATTATTTATGTAATTTTGTATATGGACATATGTATATTTCGTATTATTTTTATTTATATATACATAGATATATATACAATTTCGTTCTAAGTGTATTTTGATCTAAATATATATATATATATATATTATCAAAATACAGTTAGAATAAAATTTCATATAGATATATAATTTTGTACAAAAAATGTATTATTAGTTTTAAATTTTTTTATTTAATTTAAATTACTTATTATTTGTATTTTATAATGAGATATATATATATATATATATATATATACAATAATATACAATATCATATATGTACATACTAATATAAAAATACACTTAGTATGACATTATATATATATATATGATATTTAGACATATAAATATAATATTTGTCTATATATCGTATATAAACACATATATAATTATTATTTTTTAACATTAACATTAACATTAATATTTTTTATTTTATTTTACACTAGCAGGGAGGCTGCCTGTCAGCACAGGCAGTACCCCTGCAGGCAGACATATGGACACCTATTGTGAACATGTGATTGCTCTGTTAAGCGATCACATGGCCCCAGGGGTCCTAATCCGCCATGGGGAGACTGTCTGGGCTGCAGACAATCTCATCACACCGGGAGCACCACCGATCGCCGCCGGGGGAACGACGGCGATCGGGTAAGTACATAAGACCTTTGTGACGGTTCAGGACCGCCAGCGGTCGGCAACGCTAAAATGCCGATGACGGTCCTGAACCGTCCTCGGTCGTTAAGGGGTTAATTTGGGGCCTTAAGGAAATTGGATTTGGGTTTTATCCGGCCCATGGTGCCTTGGGTGTTCACCTGTCACCTTCAGGTGTCTCTCCCTCCACCCTCCTTCCCTTTCTGCCACCACTTTTTTTTTTGTTAACCTTAGGTTAAACCCACCAGTCACTTGGAGACCGGCTTATTTTACCGTCACCTCAGAGTGCCGGGAATATTACCTTTCGTAGCTGCGTTCGCCACTCCTTTCGTGCACTTTTGTAAAGTTAAACGCTGATACAGCGTGAAACTCTGCTTTCACGCACAATCCTTGTTTGCATTCGTGACTTTGTTTGCTAGCTGAAAGCTACTTTGTTCACATAAGGCTTATTTCGTTTCCCTTTGGGTTGCCTGGTTGGCCGCGTTTGTTGTTAGCGTTCGGCAGTTTCCACTTCCTTCGCCTACTTCCACCAAAGTTCAGTACCTGATTCTCATATATATTTTCATTTGTATGTGTGTTAGAATGTTTCGTTAGCGTTTGGTTCTTTTTGTTCCCGCACTAAAATTTTGCGGGACTACCGGTGGCCATCTTGGCTCTTATATTGCGAGATCTTAGACGGACATTTCCTGTACGGAGTTTCTCTGGTATTGTTAGGACGTTTTATTTATTTATTTTTTGGTGAGGCATTCCTAAAAGAACTGAATAAACATGTTAATGTTTTTACTTCATTGAACAAGGCGTAGTCATCCATGCGCAAATTGTTCAGAGGCAATACCCAGAGGGTTTTTTTGGTAGAGCTGGTCGGCAACAGGGCGGTGCCACCAGCCGTATCTGGCCATTAGGTCCCTGCACAGCATGAGCAAAAACAACCTTTCTACCCAGAAGTGGGTGGCCGCCAGCCATTCCACTATTCAAGGGGCTCGGAAAGAGGCCGTGGTGGTCGTGGAGGAAATAGAGCATGATTCTCCACAGGTAAGCCAACCTTATCCACATGCTTGTCCTCTTGTATTACCCAAGTCTCCCTCCGCAGGTCACCTAACCAGTGGCAATTCACTTGCCTCCCGTTTGGCCTCAGTTCGGCACCGTGGTGTTTCACAAAGATCCTGAAACCAGTGGTGGTCCAACTCCAAAACAGAGGAATAAGATGTATAATCTACTTGGATGGCATTCTGCTTTTTGGTCAAGTCCACACACAATTACTAGTACATTCAACATACACAGTGAAATTCCTAGAATCCCTGGGCTCAATGTGTTCAGTTCCTAGGGTTCGATATAAACTCTCAATCTTGTACGCTCCGACTACCTCACAGCAGACTGGCTCTCTCGCCACTGGTGAGACAGCAGCGATTGGCAACTGAACCCCCAAATATTTGCAAACCTGGACGCGTACAGGGGACCATTGACGTTAGACCTCTTCGCATCCTGTACCAACCAGCAACTACCAACCTTTTACAGTTGGTTTCCAGACCCGCAGAGCGCAGCAGTGGATGCATTTCTGCAGACATGGCCGCACTAAGGAGCCTATGCCTTCCATCCATTTGTGATGATAGTGAGGGTGCTACACCACATTTGTCTGCAAAAAGTGAAGGTGCTCCTCCTGACGCCATGGTGGACGAGTCAATCTTGGTTTCCGGACCTCTTCGCCCTTTCCTGTAAACACCCGCTTCTCATTCCGGAAGATCCCTGGTTACTCAGGGACCCAGTGGGGAATCCTAATCCAATGTTAGTAGACGGACATCTCTCTTTAGTGGCCGGGAGTCTTTCAGGGGTATCGAGGAATTATCACCAACAGCTAGAGACCTCCTCTGGGACTCTTGGGCCCCAGGAACTAGACAATGT